TCCTTTTTTTTTGTATATAAGCCCGGCAAATAAAGCCAGCGTTTGTAGAGATATAGATAGATTGAAGAGATAGATAATTGAGTCAAGCGAGCAGTAGGAACCGTAAGTAAAGTGTGTGAATCACTGCGATTTATAGCGTGTGGCATATAGGTTGTTAAGTATAAAGTGACTGTGGAAATTCTGTGTATTACAAAAAGTTGTATCGATAATTTTTACCGGAAATTATCAAAGAAGCAGATACGTAACATTATAATGCTAAATACCGCCTTTCGATACCCATCGTGTAGCTTTGCGATTAACAACAAACGAACAAAGAAGTTATCTTAAAGTAAAGTGTAAAACATTTATTCAATAATTACTAGCTTTCATAATAAGAAAGGTAAATTAATAATGACAGCAAACTAATAATTATTGTCAAACATTATTGGGTTCAATAGCGTGCCCGGTTTGTGAATCAGAGGGTTCATGGTTCACGTCTCGTTACCACGAAAATTCGCTCTTCACTTTATGTCGTGGGTGCGCTATAAGAATATGGGCAAGCCTCACTATTCATTCAAACAAGAGTGTTCTATAAGTTGGTGGTAGGTGTTGTTAACTTGCTGCCTTCCCTCTAATCCAGCAGCTCTAAATAAGGAACTTCTTAGCGCAGATTGTAATTCAGACTTAGTGCTATTGATGCCTTAGCGAGACGGGACACCGCATTAGAAAGTCCAAGGTGATTTTGAGATATTAAGCCTTTTTTCATGCTTGCTAATGCATTATCAATATTACATTAATGTGACGCATTCATAAGTTATTTATTCGGTTTTGGTAGAAAAAAAAATAGCTACTCTAAAAGCTTGTCTTTTATTCTCCGAAGGTCGTAATAACACTTGATCATACAGAGAAAAAGGGGTTTACTGATAAACTCTGGTGCCGTTCTTGAGTAAGGGCTAGGTAGGATCCTGGCAGAGGGATAATCAAGTCCCTCAATCCAGTAACAGATTGTGAGTTAACGAGAGCTTTAGGACAACCTATTTCCATATCCCTAAAGATTCAAACTAAGTGTTTGTTGTTTTAAGGGATTAATTAAACATCACATATTTTGTTGTACTTTTGCGAGAAAAACAATAATTAGTACATATAATTTTAGCTCTAGAATTACTGATGGATTCATATGGATCCATTAGCTTTATAAAATCACTTTTCTAAACTATTTACGAGCCAAATTGTTTGTGGATCCATGGCTTTGTTGGCTATAGAACCCCCAATAACACACGAGTCACAAAAATTGGAAGATCATCACCATCATTATTATAATGAATACACTAATTACTGTTCTTAACATTGAGTGTACTAACAGGTAAAAATATACAATTTCTCAATATGATGGAATGTGTAAATCCTAATGGTAGTGAATGACATGAAAATCGTGAGACTTTAACTATCGTTTGTGTAAAAGGTTAAAATTCCAAGAACTTGTGTAAAAATAATTAAAAATTAAATTTTTTTTAACAATTTTCAAACAATCAACGTTTTTAACTTACACAATTAAAAACGTTGATCATTTGAAAATTGCTATTATTATTTTTTAATTTTTAATTATCGTTTGTGTAGTTGATGCTTAAGGCTGGCACTGGTAAAAACCGTTAAAGCTAGCAATTTTGCCTTCCAGCAGCACAGCGGTATGTTTTCGGACTTACAACGCTAGAAAAATGGGTTTCGATACCCGTGGTGGGCAGATCACAGATAGCTCATTGTGTAGCTTTTTGTTTAATTATAAACAAACAAACAAAACATGACACTTATTAAATTAAACAAAGCTAGCATTCCAGCATATGATTTGTTGCTTTGAAATAAATAAATAAATAAATATTTGTTAATATTAAGGAACCCTCTGCAAAATTAAGAAGAGCAGGAAAGGTGCTCCGTACTATGATATTCAGCCACGCACCTCATCTCATTCGTGACAGGAAGTATCATATGAAAACAATCCGTCGGTGTCTTGTTGGAACTGAAATGGTAGACTGGCTTCTTCAGCAAGCAATAGGTGGCGCTGTACGCATCCACTCTCGGGCCCAGGCTATAGGCATGTGGCAAGCGTTGCTGGAAGAGGGCGTGATATCACATGGTAAGACCATAGGTTTAATAATAATTTGTATTATTGAGGTTATCTAGATTTATAAGATGATGAAACTGTTGTATATTTTGTGGTTATATTTAAAGATGATTATTCTGATTTGTTTTGTGAAACGCTTGTTAGATGATTATAAACATATATATATATATCCGAATTTTTAGCTTGTTACAAAATGTTAATATGTCACTCTAAAACATAAAGTGAGCCTAATAACTTCACTACATTTATTTACTGAATGTCCTTCGGTGAGTCAGCGGTAAATTTACGAATTTATAACGTTATATCCGAGATTCGATTTCCCGCAGTGGACAGAGCGCAGATAGCCAATCGTGTTGCTTAGCGCTAATATACAAACAAGAAAAAGCGTAACCACGATAATTAATCAATATATATATATATGTGAGCTTGGCTTGTTAAGATGTTAATAATATAGTGGCACAAAGTTACAGTAGTCATTTTAATTGTATTATTTAGACAGTCGGTAATACAAATAATGTTGTTTAGAGATTCGAAATAATTTTGCGTTAAATCAAACGAACAATCATTTAGTGAAATTCGTAAAAAAAAAGATACGCATCAGGTTTTCTACAGTATTCGAAAGTTTGTTCTCTCTACCTCTCCTCGCTTTAAACGAAAGTTAGTTTACTTTGTTCTCGCTAGGGCTCACAACATCTGTTATATATATTAAAACCTGAAAAGGTTTTTCGTTGTACAAAACTTGAAGATAGCTTTGATATATGGAAACATTTGTTAACTGAGTTCTTGGACAGATCTTAAAATATAACGCTCATAAATGGAAACATCGGCTCATGTAGATACGTAGATCTTGCTATGATTAGTGTCTGGCGAAAAGCTTCAGCAGATATTTCTTTTGCAACATCTCAACCAA